AACAAGCAAAGCAACAAGACTTTGGAGACTCTATTCCTTGGACTTCTTCTCAACACCAGTGTTGGGAAAAGACCTCAGCCTTCAGGAAGTGCCTGGAGGGGAACCCCTTTGCTGCTGGAACTGCTGTTGTGGAGCCCAGCCCTGTCCCAGCAGTGCCCAGGGCTTGTCCCTGCCTGTGCTCACAGGCCTGACCCACAGCAGGACAGTGATTGAGCTGCCAGAGCACTCAGGCCTTGGGCACGGACAGGAAAGGAGAGGGTGGGAGTGCAAAGAGAGCAGCTCTGAACAGACCCAGTTCTGGGGCTCCCTGGCAGCGCTGGGACTCTTTTCCCCTCCACATCTGCAAACATGGAAATGTCCTCCAGCTTCAAGGAAAATCAGGAAGGATCAGGAAAAAGAATTTGTGTCCTTTCTTAGAGATTGTGATTCCTCATGTACAAAGTAACACAGGGAGAATGTTTGACAAATACTTTGCTGCACAAACTTTTATTTTGTTTAAATCCACACAAAACATGATTCCTGATTAGTACATTTTGTGGGTCAAAAAAAGGAGACAATGAGTGAATTATATATGGGATGAAGAATAAAATTTCAGTGTTAATGACATGAACAGAGGAAAAAAAACCAGGAAAACCCCCCACCCCAAACACTGTCAAAAACTTTAGAAGGTAGACTGGGCCCAAAATGTGTTACACAATGAGTGTTCTGCAGAAGAAAAGACGCAGTTTATTGCTTCTGAAAAACATCCAGTCATTGTTTTCCTTATGGCATCCTTGAGTTCCTGGTTCTTGAGGCTGTAGATGAGGGGGTTCAGTGCTGGAGGCACAACCGAGTACAGAACTGACACCACCAGGTCCAGGGATGGGGAGGAGATGGAGGGGGGCTTCAGGTAGGCAAATGTGGCAGTGCTGACAAACAGGGAGACCACAGCCAGGTGAGGGAGGCACGTGGAAAAGGCTTTGTACCGTCCCTGCTGAGAGGGGATCCTCAGCACAGCCCTGAAGATCTGCACATAGGAGAAAACAATGAAAACAAAACAACCAAACATTAAACAGGCAATAACCCCAATGAGCCCAATTTCCCTGAGGTACCCTGAGTGTGAGCAGGAGAGCTTGAGGATTGCAGAGATTTCACAGAAGAACTGGCCCAGGGCATTGCCCTGGCACAGGGGCAGGGAAAATGTATTGGCTATGTGCAGCAGAGCATTGAGAAAGCCAGTGGCCCAGGCAGCTGCTGCCATGTGGGCACAAGCTCTGCTGCCCAGGAGGGTCCCGTAGTGCAGGGGTTTGCAGATGGCAACGTAACGGTCGTAGCACATGATGGTGAGGAGAGAAAACTCTGCACCAAGAAAGATGACAAGCAGAAAGATCTGTGCAGCACATCCGTGGTAGGAAATGGTTCTGGTATCCCAGAGGGAATTGTGCATGGCTTTGGGGACAGTGGTGCAGATG